TAACATCCTTCTGGGACCGTCTTGAGGGGCGCTGGGAGCTGGGGCACTGTCATACAATGGTTCGCTCCTTCCTCCTGGCCGTGTTCAGAAGTGGAGGGGGATGAGTGTTCAGACCCCTGGGCTCTCACTTGTGGGTGCCTCAGGGTCTTGTCCTCTCCCCCATGCTTTTCAACATCTACATGCAGCCGCTGGGAGAGATCATCAGGGGGTTTGGGCTGAGTGCTCATCTGTATGTGGATGATACCCAGCTCTACCTCTCTTTCAAATCGGAACCAGTGAAGGCAGTGAAGGTCCTCTGTGAGTGTCTGGAGACAGTTGGAGGATGGATGGCGGCTAACAGATTGAGGTTGAATCCTGACAAGACAGAAAGTACTGTTTTGGGGGGACAGGAGGTGGGCAGGTGCGGGGACTCCCTGGTCTTGAATGGGGGTACTGTGCCCCTGAAGGACCAGGTGCGCAGCCTTGGAGTCATTCTGGACTCGCAGCTGTCCATGGAGGCACAGGTCAATTGTGTGTCCAAGGGCAGCTGTTTATCAGCTCCATCTGGTACGCAGGCTGAGACCCTACTGCCCGCAGACTGTCTCACCAGAGTGGTGCATGCTCTGGTTATCTCTCGCTTGGACGTACTGCAATGCGCTCTATGTGGGCTATCTTTGAAGGTGACCTTGAAACTACAACTAATCCAAAATGTGGCAGCTAGACTGGGTGACTGGGAGTGGCCGCCGAGACCACATAACAACTGGTCCTGAAAGACCTGCGTTGGCTCCCAGTATGTTTCCGAGCACAATTCAAAGTGTTGGTGCTGACCTTTAAAGCCCTAAATGGCCTCGGTCCAGTATACCTGAAGGAGCGTCTCCACCCCCATCGTTCTGCCCGAGACACTGAGGTCCAGCGCCGAGGGCCTTCTGGCGGTTCCCTCGCTGCAAGAGCCAAGTTACAGGGAACCAGGCAGAGGGCCTTCTTGGTAGTGGCACCCGCCATGTGGAATGCCCTCCCACCAGATGTCAGAGAGAAAAATACTACCAAACTTTTAGAAGACATCTAGAAGCAGCCCAGTTTAGGTAAGCTTTTAATGTTAATAGATTATTGTATTTTAGTGTTTTGTTAGGAAGCCACCCAGAGTTCTGGCTGCGGTAAACCCAGCCAGAGTGGGCAGGGTATAAATTATTATTATTATTATTATTATTATTATTATTATTATTATTAGGAAGGATACAACAGAGCATTGTGTAGCAGATCATATTTCTGCTGTCTCAGAGAGGACATTTCCCTTTTCTTTTAGGGTTCCAGTGTGCTTTGAAGATGTTGCTTGTTCGTTTCACGGACGAGGAGTGGGTGTTGCTGGATCCTGACCAGAGAGCTCTGCATAAGGACGTCATGGAGGAGAATCGTGGGATCGTGGCCTCTCTTGGTAAGGCTCCCTGTGGGATCGTCATATCTGCCTGGAAATTCAAAAAATACCTCTATGGGACCAACCTCATATATTTTCACAGAGCTCAACAGTGCCCCCTATAACATCTGGGAACCTAGCACCCACAATAAAGAGTAAATTACAGTTTTTTCTTTGAACAATCTTTCTCAAATTATTCCTTTTTCTACCACGATTGGCTGGTCTCAACTTCCCAGGCCATCTTCAATGTTGACCAAAGAGCCGACTGGCAGCGAAGCTCAGGGGCTGCCAGCCAGAGAAGAAGCAGGCCTAGGGAGAGGGGAGTTAGCAGCGGAGGCAGAGAGGAGGGGGAGAGGAACTGTCATCTGAGCTCTGAACAAAAGGGAGAAGAAAAACAGAGACAGAGTGACAGACAGCTGTGTGAGAGCTACAGGAGTGAGTCAGACGCTGGAATGCAGAAGCATTCTCTGCCAAATTTAAAGATACTGGAAGAGAAGGTGGGGGCTTCTGTGCTGGGGAAGGGGGAGGAGCTCAGTCTGGGCAACTCCATCTTGTGGGGAGGATGATGAGTAGAGGAGCTCCGTCCAAGTTTGTTGTTTTAGCAATAAATCTGAAATTATTAACAGTCGTCTCACGTTTGTGGGAGAGACCAAGCCATAACAAGGACTGACATTGGAGATGGAGGGGATGCCATGACTGGGCCAAACAAAATCCATCTCAGAGAAGAGCTAGGCTTATGGAATCTCAGGTAGTGGTTAGCAGTGATGAGGATGATGATGATGATACAGTGGTACCTCGGTTTACAAATTTATTTTTTTCCAGAACAGGTACCACTGTAGTAATAATAATAATTTTTTGTAATGGCTTGGCTCTCCCACGGAAGCGAGACACCGGCAGTAATTATCTCAGGTTTATTGCTCAAACACATAAATCACTCCGGAGCTCCTTCACTCCGTGTCTGACTTCAAGTTTGCAGTTGCCAAGTCTAAACTTCCGCCCCTTCCTCTTCTTCCAAGAGGGGAATAAACCCTTTCGCTTCAGCTCTTTCCCCTTCCTCTCACTGACCTTTCCGCGCCTTCGAGTTTTGGGCTAGCCATTCCTGGCCTCTCCCCTTCTGTCTCTGAGCTAAGATTGGTATTTTGTGGATCTTTCCTATCTGCTGCCTGCTCTCTGTTCTCTGAAGCTCTGCCACTCGGCTGCCCCTCCTCCCTCTCACATTCCGGCTCACATTCCAGTGTCCTTATCTCTCTTTGCCTGCTTTCATACATTCCAGCCTCAGTCAGCTCCGGAACAAAGCTGACATTTTTATTTTCTACCCAGCCACTCTGGGCGGCTTCCAACACATATATAAACATGAAACATAAATAATAATATTCTGATCCCATATAAAAAGAACATTAACTTAAAATGAACAACTTACACTGGTGGCCAAAATTGTGGAAACCTTTTTTGAAAAGTGTATTTCTGAGGTTTGATGGCTCATAACACCACTTTTGTGTGGACTAATACCATAAAATTATATATCAATGGAAAGATAATTTAATGAAGAATTTAATGAAATGACTTTTATGAAGGAGTATTTGTTATGATGGAGTATTTATTAGAACAGTAGTCATAAAGAAAAAACGTGAAACCTTTGGTAACCATTGGTAACCTTTAGCTTTAATTACGGCCTTACAATGCCTTCCCATGAAGTAAACCAAATTTTTAGTTCTGCACCTGTAAGAATGTGAAACCAAGACTGAATTATTGCCTCTGTTAATTGGGCTTTATTGCTGGATTGCTTCTAACAAAGAATTTTCTTTAGTTGGCTCCATAGATTTCTGATTGGGTTAATGTTTGGGCTATTCCCAGGCCCTTACAGCAGTGGAATAGGATTATCTTGAAAGCACCGTTTGCACACAGCAGCAACATGACGGAGCTGAATTTTGTTGAAATAGAAAAATAAATAAATAAATATGCTTCAGTATCTCTGAAAGATCACCTGCGGAACACTTCAGTTCGGGCTAAAGTATTTCATTTATGTATTCTGGGGCATTTACATTCCCATTAATGACACAAATTCTGCCCAAACCTTTTGCTGCCATACAACCCCAGATCATCACACCATCTGGGTGTTTCACAGTCGGTGTAATGCAAGTAGGATGTAAATCTTCTCTGATTCTTCTCCTTGTGTATTTCATGCCATCACTACCAAGCAAGGAGATTTGGCTCTCATCCCTCCAAATAACACTGTCCCATTGTTCCACTGTCCACTTAACAAGGGTTTAGTCATGGCGTGGTGTAGTGGGTAAGAGCGGTAGACTCGTAATCTGGTGAACCGGGTTCGCGTCTCCGCTCCTCCACATGCAGCTGCTGGGTGACCTTGGGCCAGTCACACTTCTCTGAAGTCTCTCAGCCCCACTCACCTCACAGAGTGTTTGTTGTGGGGGAGGAAGGGAAAGGAGATTGTTAGCCGCTTTGAGACTCCTGAAGGGGAGTGAAAGGTGGGATATCAAATCCAAACTCTCCTCCTCCTCCTCCTCCTCCTTCTGTCTTTTCAAGCTTTGCTTGAGAGATAGCAATGGCTTTTTCCTTAGAACTCTAACATTTAGACCAGTCCTTGCACTCAACTTCACATTACATTGCGCCATGTCATCTTGTATACACCTAGATAATATTCTTCTGTCATGTAGGGACAGTCTCTCCATTCTTTGATCGTCACTTGCCTTTGTGCACCTTTTCCTGCTTTTACCGGTCTGATTTTGTAGTCACTGAGTCTCCTTATACCTCTTCCAAAATATAGAAATGCCAGCTTTGGTTAAGTTTTCCCCAATCTTTCTTCTAATTTCTTCATAACTGTAGCCCTGTTCACTTAATAGTACAATTTTGCATCGCTTTCTGGGTGACCAGTCAACTCTTTGTGCCATTTCTATAATTTTATTATGTTTTTCAACCTCACTAAATGAAAGAAGACAGAAAACCAACCAACTTGTTAGCAATCATATAACACACTGACAAAAGTCAACCTAAGCAAGTTGTGCTTCCTTTTTCTGGTTATTTGGCTATAATGTTTCATAGAATATGGATAATTAAACAAACTTTGTTGAATTGCATTCTTGATTAAATTATCTTTCCATTGATATATAATTTTATAATATTACTCCAAAAGAAGCAGAGTTTTGAGCCATCAAACCTCTGAAATACACTTTTCTCCAAAAGGCTTCCGCAATTTTGACAACTACTGTATATCAAACAAAGTAACATTCAAAAACACATCAGAATCTCATAATAAATATGTTGGTTAATGACAAACAACACAGGTAATGAACACCCCCCCGAGCACCCTTCAGTTCTTCTCCATTTGTTCATGAGTGTCTAACCCCATTTTGTCTCCATTGCAGATTGTAATGAATCGGAAATCGAGAACAAAGGTGACCAAGATAAAATCCCCAGAGAGGAGAAGCCACGTAAAAATTTAGAGTGTGGAGAAAGCTGCAGTCAGAGCTCCCATTCCACTTCCCATCAACAAAATCTCATCGGAAAGAAACCATATCAGTGTGTGGAATGTGGAAAGAGCTTCAGGAGGAAGGACATTCTCACATTTCATCAAAGAATTCATACAGGGGAGAAACCCTATCAGTGTGTAGAATGTGGAAAGAGCTTCAGTCACAGCTTCAGTCTCACTTCCCATAAGCGAATTCATACAGGGGAGAAACCCTATCAGTGTGTGGAATGTGGAAAGAGCTTCAGTCACAGCTTCAGTCTCACTTCCCATAAGCGAATTCATACAGGGGAGAAACCCTATCAGTGTGTGGAATGTGGAAAGAGCTTCAGGAAGAGCTGCGATCTCACTTGCCATCAAAGAATTCATACAGGGGAGAAGCCCTATCAGTGCATGGAATGTGGAAAGAGCTTTAGTCACAGCCAGAGTCTCACTTTCCATCACAGAGTTCATACAGGGGAGAAACCCTATGAATGTGTGGAATGTGGAAAGAGCTTCAGGAAGAGCTCCCATCTCACTTGCCATCAAAGAATTCATACAGGGAAGAAACCCTATCAGTGTGTGGAATGTGGAAAGAGCTTCAGGAAGAGCTCCTATCTCACTTCCCATCAAAGAGTTCATACAGGGGGGAAACCCTATCAGTGTGTGGAATGTGGAAAGAGCTTCAGGAAGAAGGACCAACTCACTTGCCATCAAAGAATTCATACAGGGGAGAAACCCTATCAGTGTGTGGAATGTGGAAAGAGCTTCAGGAAGAAGGACCAACTCACTTGCCATCAAAGAATTCATACAGGGGAGAAACCCTATCAGTGTCTGGAATGTGGAAAGAGCTTCAGTCAGAGCTCCCATCTCATTTGCCATCAAATAATACATACAGGGGAGAAACGCTATGTGTAGAAAGTGGAAAGAGCTTCAGTCAAAGCTCGAAACTCACTTCCCATAAAAGAATCCATACAAAGGTCGGGAAAACCATTATACATCTTTAGTAGCCAAGAAATCCGCACCTTTATTACCTGGCCTTTGGCTGATTGACATCTAATGCCTTTTTAACATGTGGTGTTTTGTGTTTGTATGTTGTAACCATCCTGAGACCCGTAGGTATAGGAATAGGCGCCAATGCTTAAAGACCTAGGCGTCTCCCCCCCCATAAAATATTTAAGGAGGCCTGTGGGGTTTGCCCTCCTAGGTGTATGACATCATACTGGGTCATAAAGAAAGGGTTAACTAAGTGTAAAATGATTAACCAATAGGAACCCAAGGAAGTGAGTTAAGAAGTGAGTCTGGAGTTAGAGAAGGGAGAGGGAGGATAAGTCTGTGGGTTGGGCTAGTTTGATGCGAGAGAGTGAGAGAATCTGTTAAGAGGAGTCAGTTAAACAGCTGGGATAATCAGTTAGAAGGTATTAGGAAGGTATAGGCCGGTAGTGATGTATGGAAGTGAGAGCTGGACCATAAAGAAGGCTGATCGCCGAAGAATTGATGCTTTTGAATTATGGTGCTGGAGAAGACTCTTGAGAGTCCCATGGACTGCAAGAAGATCAAACGCATCCATTCTTAAGGAAATCAGCCCTGAGTGCTCACTGGAAGGACAGATTGTGAAGCTGAGGCTCCAGTACTTTGGCCACCTCATGAGAAGAGAAGACTCCCTGGAGAAGACACTGATGCTGGGAAAGATGGAGGGCACAAGGAGAAGGGGGCGACAGAGGACGAGATGGTTGGATAGTGTTTTCGAGGTTACCAGCATGAGTTTGACCAAACTGCGGGAGGTAGCGGAGGACAGAGGTGCCTGGCGTGCTCTGGTCCATGGGGTCACGAAGAGTCGGACACGACTAAACGACTAAACAACAACAAAGGCCGGTAAAGAAACTAAGGTTAAGAAACTGACAAGAATAAACTTGTTCAAATAAACTTGAACACCACAGTGGAAAAAAGAGTAATCTGGGACGCAAGTAAAGCCGTTATGAGAGGGTTTCTGATACAACAGAATACGATAAAGAAAAGACTTTGGAATGAAAAGAAGGATAAGATCTTAGAGAAGATAAAAGATGGTGAGAAAAAATTGAGATCAAAACCCAAATCACAGGAGGTTCTGAGGGAAATTAAATTCCACCAAGCACAATACGCTAAAATGATAAATCAAGAAGTTGAGTGGAAAATCAAACTAATGAAACAAAGATCATTTGAATCAGCAAATAAGTGTGGGAAACTGCTAGCATGGCAGTTGAAAAAGAGTCAAAAACTGAATACGGTTACAAATTTAGAGATTGAAGGGAAAAATATTCAGAAACCCGAGGAAATTAGAAAATGCTTCGAAAGATACTTTAAACAACTTTACACGCAAGGGCCGCAGAAAGAGACTGAGATAGACCAATTTTTAAAAACTAATGGATTACCAAAATTATCCCAGGAAAAGAGAACAATCCTGAATTATAAGATAACACAACAAGAAATTGAGGGTGCTATTCAGAACATGCAACTAGGTAAATCTCCAGGGCCTGATGGACTTACATCCAAGTACTACAAGACACTGAAAGATTTTTTGCTACAACCACTAATGGAGGTTTGCAACCAGATTATGGAGGGGAAGAAGGCACCGGAATCGTGGAAAGAAGCTTTCATCACATTGATACCTAAATTGGAAACTGAAAAGACACAACTTAAGAACTACCGTCCCATCTCTCTCCTAAATGTGGATTACAAAATTTTTGCGGACATTTTGGCAAGTAGACTCAAAAAAGTATTAAATGAAGTAATTCATAAGGACCAGGCCGGCTTTCTCCCAGGTAGGCATTTGTTTGCCAACACTAGAAACATTATTGACATTTTGGAACTTTTACAAACAAACATGAATACAAGAGCAGTGTTGATTTTTATTGACGCTGAGAAAGCCTTTGACAATATTTCTTGGATGTTTATGAAAAAAAATCTGGAAGGGATGGGAGTGGGACGGGGGTTTGAAAATGGAATAGAGGCAATCTATTCTGAGCAAAAAGCTAAACTGATAGTTAACAATGTGGTGACAGAAGAGTTCAAAATTGAAAAGGGAACACGACAAGGTTGCCCTATATCCCCTCTATTATTTATTTCAGTCTTGGAGGTACTTTTGAACATGATTAGGGAGGACCGGTTGGTGCAAGGAATACAGGTCGGAGCGAAACAATACAAATTAAAAGCATTTGCAGACGATCTGGTTTTAACATTACAGGAGCCAGAATCTAGTACAAAAAGAGTCTTAGAACTGATTAATGAGTTTGGTCGGGTGGCGGGATTTAAATTGAACAAGCAAAGAGCGAAGGTTTTGGGGAAAAATTTGACACCTTTGGAATCAGAAAGGTTTCAGAAAGAGACAGAGTTAAATGTGGTTAAAAAAGTGAAATACTTAGGGGTTAATTTGACTGCTAAAAACTTGAACTTATTCAAGGATAATTATGAAAAATGTTGGTCAGAGATCAAAAGGGATCTAGAAATTTGGTCAAGATTGAAACTTTCCTTGTTGGGTCGAATTGCTGCTATAAAGATGAATGTATTGCCAAAGATGATGTTTTTTGTTTCAAACCCTTCAGATTGTGGACAGAGTGGAATGTTTTGGAAAGTGGCAGAAAGATATCTCTAAATTTGTCTGGCAGGGCAAAAAGCCCCGAATAAAATTTAAAATATTAACTGATGCAAAAGAAAGAGGGGGGTTTGCCCTGCCGGACTTAAGGTTATATTATGAAGCTGCGGCTTTCTGCTGGATGAAAGATTGGTTACTTCTGGAGAACACTGATGTCCTAGATCTCGAAGGGTTTAATAATGCTTTTGGGTGGCATGCATATCTTTGGTAGGTTCATAAAGGGTTTAAAAACCATATTGTCAGAAAAGCAATATTTATTGTCTGGACAAAATACAAAGACTTATTGGAAAATAAAACTCCGAGATGGTTATCACCAATGGAGGCCAAGGCCCAGAAAAGACCCAATATGGAGGCCAGTTGGCCGAAATATTGGGAAATAATAGAAAAAACTGGAGAAAATTGGAGGTTGCAGAGCTTGGAGAAATTAAAGAGTAAGATACGAGATTGGTTACATTACGCTCAAATTAAAGAGGTTTTTAATTTGGACAAAAAGATAGGATTCCAGGTGGAAAAATTGAAATTAGAGACAGAACTGTTAGAACCAAAGACTAAGGTACTTTCGAGAATGTATAACTTGCTGCTTAAATGGAATACTCAGGACGAGACAGTTAAATCAGCCATGATAAAATGGGCTCAGGATATTGGGCATAACATCATGTTTGAGGACTGGGAAAGGTTATGGACCACCGGAATAAAATTCACAGCATGTAATGCCTTGAAGGAGAATATTATGAAAATGATATATAGGTGGTACATGACCCCAGTCAAGCTAGCAAAAATATATCACCTGTCTGATAATAAATGTTGGAAATGTAAGGAGGCTGAAGGAACGTTTTTCCATCTCTGGTGGACCTGTCCAAAAGTGAAGGCCTTTTGGGAAATGATCTATAATGAGTTAAAAAAGGTATTTAAATATACCTTTATGAAGAAACCGGAGGCCTTCCTCTTGGGCATCGTCGGCCAGAAAGTGTTGAAAAAAGACAGAACCTTCTTCATGTATGCGACTACAGCAGCAAGGATTCTTATTGCGAAGTATTGGAAGACACAAGATTTACCCACACTGGAAGAATGGCAGATGCAATTGATGGACTACATGGAATTGGCGGAAATGACTGGCAGAATCCGAGATTTGGGAGAAGAAACAATGGAAGAGGACTGGAAAAAGTTTAAAGACTATCTACAAAAACAGTTTAAGTTGTATGAATCTTAAGAAATTGCGTGATTTAGGAAAATATGGTTCCAGCAAATTTATGGTAAATTCAGGTTACAATTAATGGATAATAACCATTTTAGGCTAAGAAACTTAACATTTGAGAAGTACAAATTAAGATACGACACAAGGTAATAATTTGCTAATAATTTTTATTGTTAAGAATGCAGGGTAAGGGAGATGTGAGGAAGTCCTATAAGTTATATAAAAAAGTTATGAAAAGTTTTTCTTTTTCTATTACTTTTTTCTTTCTATATGTACAATGTTGATGTAGTTGTGTGTTTTATATGTGCTTTATGTTTGAAAACCTAATAAAACATTTATAAAAAAAAGAAAAAAGAAACTGACAAGAAAAATTATCTGAAACCATAAACTTGTTACTGCTTATTAGATAAACTTGTTTATTTGGTTTAATGTTAACAACTGTCTGGACTCAGTGTGTACCCGAGAGAAATGGGTTGGTGGCAGCGGGGAAGCGATCACAGTGGTGGCACAGGGATCAATAGACCGTCAAACGTCTGGGGACCCTGTGTGGTCGCCAAAAGGCCACCCCCAGGTTATTTTGTTTTTCCCCCAAACGCAACCTTTTATTCTTCTGCAACTTGCCATACAATTTCTCTTTCAATTTGCCCTCTTAAAAAATAAAAAAATAAAAACACACAAAGGTCACGAAGAAAACAAAATACAAGAAAATACAAACTTCGACAGGTCCCATCTTTCCGGGCAAAACGCAAAAGTTTCTTTAAAAGAGGCTTTCCCAAACTTGGGTCCCCAGCAGCTCCCGGACTACAGCTCCCATCATCCCTCCCTATTGGTCCTGCTAGCTAGGGATGATGGGAGTTGTAGTCCAAAAACAGCTGGAGACCCAAGTTTGCTTTAAAGGGAAAGTAGGCTGGCCCTGTGACACCCTCTGCTGGACAAAAGCACTGCCCCAGAATCTGAACCACCCCCAGTACTGCTAATTGGAATTAACAGAGCGCAAAACTGAAGTTTGATCGGCACTTCAACCTCTTGG